GAGCACCTAGGTTAAAAATGAAATGTAATTTATTTTGAATTTGGAACAAATAAAGAGTTAAAAAAAAAAAAAAAAAAAAAAAAGATAACTGTACGACCCCTTGATTTTTCCACCCTAGGCGAACCTCGAGTAACAACATATAATTTAATTCAAGATGTTTAATATTTATCTAACTTTCCAACAAAAAAAGCGGAACAATCTGGTATTACTATAATACATTTATTGCCACCCGACGCTTATGCATCTTGTATTATAGTTTTCTCCTATGAATAAAAATTCAAACGAGTAAGTTGGTCACCCCCCATGAACAGGTTAGCGGTACACATGATCTAATAAAATACCGGTCATACATTGAAATTCAACATTGCTCTTTTTGCAATGCTCAACCATTTGCGGAAGTACGTAAAAGAAGCGACACCGGGTTCTACTGCTGGTAATTTGCAAACATTTTCTTTCATAGAATAACTTTGCTGAAGCATTTTTCGAATCAAATTTGCCACTCTCTTTTCCCACTTTTGTGTGGCCAAAAACAAGCATGACTTTTCAAAGTTGGGTGAAGAAAAATGGATTCTAAAACATGCTTGATATTCAACATCTCTCGAATGCTACAATCTAGAGAAGGAACATGGAAAGACGCGGTCTCGTGAAAGTTGGGACAACTTTGATCCGAGACGTACAGACAGCACCTGTGACTTTTTTGGCACACAATGAACTCTCTAGTAGTAGCTAATCCTGATGTAAGTGGAAATGAAACTTTTCCCAATAGAGAATACAAAACACACATGGTTCAAGTGGGCGGTAAAAAATGAATGTCTTTCATACGCTGTATCAAACAATGATAAAGTTGGTGACATTGGGTGAGAGTTGCAGCATTTATCAAAATTGTTTTTTTGAACGACTTTTTTCATTCACCATAGAATATTAGGCAATATTTATTTAGACCTTTAGAATTTAGAAGCAATTCTACAAAACACAAAATAACCAATGTTTGAACCGCTAGGAAATCCATTGATCTCAATAATAACCTTCTTTTGATGTGTATTTTATGCTGAACAAATTGGTTTTCAAATGCCAGTTCTATAATCAATAGTTCTGTTGTGGTTTGTGCATGGTGCATTTTAGATGGAGGTGCTCGATAGGCATCTACCTCATACAGTAAATATCGCCTGCCTTCATGTCGTGTGCATGGCGTAGCTTGATAGAGTCCATCATGAGTCCATGATTTATAACAGAAACAAATAACAGAAACAGAAATAGATAAAATTTATTACAGAAACAAAAACAAATAAACAAATGGCGATTTATAACAGAAACAATAAATTTATAACAGAAACAAATAAACATTATTACATAAGAATTCAACTTATATCTTATACTATAGACACAGGACAGTTGGCATTCGGTTAAAAATTGGTTTGTCACTCCCCTTCTATTTTCAAACCTACCAACACCATTGCGTACGAAAATTATAATTCGAAAAGATGAACTGGCAAAGGAAAAAGCAAAACATTGACAATCACTGATTATAAATGTTTTTTTTTTAAGAAAGGTTATCCTATAATTACGGAACAGGTGCGTTGATTTTTTAATGTTACTGGAATTATTAGTTAAAAGTTTATTCACCATCATAATTGCAGTCGCGTAGCTTGCTAGTGATGTATAAGAATATTAAAAATATCCAAGGAAATTGTTGATAAAAATCATGTTCGAATAGTGTGAATTTAACTCGTCCACTCAGGACTGCGAGTAGCTGTGTTCCAAAAAACTGCCAACTGGTTCTGTTACACATTGCTATATTTTTCGCAAACGTTTTTTTAATCCACTCCCAACACAAAACCTCCAACCAAAACAAAACCATTCTCCATTACCACTTTGGTGTGAAAGTTCAACCCCCGATTTGGGCTTATCCTAGCTCATTTATTATGGCTTGTTCCTGACCCTGTTTTACTGGTGAAAATCTTTTCCTTCTCCCAAATTTATCGGAATGATGAACTGTGGCAACATAATCACCACCATCATCATCATCATCATCACCATCATCATGTCCAGGCGTCGAAAGCATTTTAACCTTCGTTGGGTTGAGGTAGGGGATCTATCCAGAGCGGCAAACTTTCCCGAACTGCTCTCGCAATAAAGCAATTTAATGTGCCACAAGGGCTCACTCTACATTAATGAATTTAGCCGCAGTTTGTCGAGTATATCATCTATAGCGGAAGATCTCAGTGCTAAACAAGCTTAACTTTCCCATTATAACCTGTCGAAAAGTACCTCTCTTATATTCTCTCTTTGCTTCCCATACGGCATGCATCCGTTTCGGTCAGATTTACCACCCACAATTTCGAGCCTTGTTCGAGGTTTTCTGACGTATACTTTTGTCATGCACCAGGCGGCCCTCTTTGAACTAATACACCAAAATCTTGTTCATATGTGCTTTGCCAAAGAAATGTGGCTAGCCAATAACGTTTTGCAGTTGTCTGTGCTCTTCAAGTAGACTCCTTTTGGGATGTTTAAAATATCTTCATTCAGTTGATTCAATGTTCATTCATTTTCTAATTCATACTCTCCGGTTCCCTGTCATGTAAATGCTGTTATTTTGTTGGAAATAAAACATCTAAAATCTAAAAAAAAACATATTTCAACTTATATTGAACATCCCTCGCACTTCCACTAAATATGCATGCCAGAGCAAGATTCTCAAATGGTTTCCATAAATGCTCGATTGCTATATCGAGAAGAGTGTACTCTACAGATCTCTTGAAAGAACGTTGATTTCATGCGGAAAACATATTTTGCTCCCGGCCAAATACGTTTGCTCTTTTTTATGCTAGATCCTAGCAGATGAATCTTTCATATTACAGGAAGCAGCAATTGTTTGAAATTCAGTACCTTGTATTGCACAATACAATAACAGATTCAATATTGATGAACTCACATTTAAGTACGAATTCACACGCATGTACAAAGCTAGTAGTCGAATGAAGTGAATTGTGCAGTGGAATATTGATTAAAACAAAAACTTTGTTGAGACTTGTGTGCTACCGTATCATTCTACGTGACACAACTAAATTAAACCATCCTAGAAACCAGAAGAAATGTTCAACTGTCCAAAGTTAGAAGCCTGAAGATACGAACCACAAAGTCAAACTTTCAGACATTGCAAAGTAATTCAAAACTTTCATTTACAAGAAGATCCATGTTAAATATTCTATTACCTTCAGGGGGTAAACAACGTTCTTGAGAGCTTAATTTAGGCATGTGGATACACGCGTGTTTCAGAGCATCTATTGGTCAAATTTGAGTGTTCTAGGACTTTACCCCCTGACGATAATAGGTCAAGGTATTTCCGAAGCCGAAATTTCCCCTATATAGGTAGCATTTGTGTTTAACAAGAATTTCCTGCAAGAAAGGGCGTATGTTAAAAGATATTTTTGCTCTAGCTTCCTTGCACAATTTTCGTTCCCGATAGGGGTAAGAGGGGCATAGTGAACAGGTGGGGCATATTGAGCAGCCAAAAAGATGAGCTCGTTTCTTCGGGACCTTCTGGTCTTAGAGCTACCTCTATGATAACACCTAATCTACCACCCGCGCTGCCGGTGGTGTAGTGGTAAGCGTTATTACCTCTCCCCCAGCAGGCCTGGGTTCAATCCCAGTCGGCGCCGCCGGGATGTTATGAGGCATGGTGCTCAGCACAAGATCGATGGAAAACAAATCAAGGAAAAAACACCTATTCTAGAAGAAGAAAACACCAGCAGAGAGGCAGAAAATAAGCGAGATAATTTCATTCTATAACGAAAGATGACATAGTAGACGAGAACCTCAGCTAGCACGATTCTCGATTTTTAGTGATAGAGCGAAATCGGAATTCTTTTTCGGAATCGTTTGCTGAACTGTTTCGTACATCTCGTTCGGGAACTTTTATTCTTATTTTGTTCGCGATTTTCGCATAGTTAGTTCTTCAGCGAAATGATTTTCTGAAGAACTGCAAAAGAGCTTTTTTTAAAATGAACTTTCCAACACTGATCCTGAGAAAGTGCTTACTTAGATTCGGTTTAAACAATTTATTCTGTCCTAATCGTATGCAAAATACTATTTTTACGAGGCGGTACGGTATTTTTGGATGATACATTTCTAAAAATATGTTGAAGTACATATGTTGATACATATGATAAATTATGTATGCTGTTAGTCAATTCTGTATATTCAAAATCCAAAAGAGGTCCCACTTACCGCGATGAATGAGGAAAGTGAGACCTATTGGACATTTTATGAATACTATAGGGTTATGCTGGAATGCCAACAGATACACAAGCTCATAATGCTGAACTATCAAATGTTTAGGTTCCTCTTGCCCCAGCGTACCCTCATTCATTAGGTCTTTAGTGGGACTGCACACTGTAGTCAAAATACGTATCTGACACTAATCACTTCCGTGCGCTGCTTCTTCACGAGCAACAAGACAAAGATAGAAATGCTTCACAGTCCTGTGTACGGTTTCGTTTCCAAGGGGAAACCATTTTTGCATTAAAATTCACTTCACGTAACAATGTAACACTAAATCCCTGCCGGAAGCAGCGATGCAACTCGATTTGATAACAAGATGTACGGAACGTAGTGCAATCACTTTGGACCATGGAGTGTTTTCTCGTTTTCCTCTTGGTGGCACTGCTCCGGTAACGGATTTTACTACAAACTATGAGAACGACATTGTGTCCCGTTACGATAGCTGTTAATGAGCAAAAATTACCGAAAAGAAGTAGGAAGCTACTGGAAATCGCTGAAAAGTGCCTTTGGGAAGATTATCTGAAATTGAATTTACTTTGGTAATTAGGGTTATGGTAGGAGAGATTCTAGTTAATGAATATTGCCTTATTAAATTTGAGGTGATGTACGGTCCTTTAATTAACATTCTCCTGATTAATTGATTAATGTTCGTAACGTTAATTCTTTTAAAATCTACTGAAACAATAAACACGTCATCGTATTATTTTTTTTCTTTCTAGCTTCAGTATGCCTTATCCTGAGGGAAATCAGAAAGTACAAAACGAACGTAAATCTTCTGGACAACGTGAATCCAGATTCAAGCGGGACCTTAACCTATTTGACGATAATCTGGTGCCGGATCAAGAAGGTAAGTGACCAAATCGCTGCAAGATTTGTCTCACCTGATTCAGGTTCCCCAAAAGAACGTGATAGTTTCTATCGGATAGAACGTCCTGCTTCTATAACCGTGGAATGTTTACGAGTTTAATTTATTCTTTTGGCTTGCACTTTCAGGACCCAATGTGGAATTTTTCAATCCAAAACTTCGCAGTGAACTGGAGAAGAAAGACGCTGATATCATCAAGAAAACTGGTCTGAAAGGAGCTGCACCGGGTGGTGATTCTTGGGTCTGGTTAACAAGCTATTCTCGGATTCCGGTAAGTAATACATAGGTATACAAAAAGCTGGGTTGGTGGACTATTTCTAATCTGTGCATCAACAATACTAAGTATAGAATCAGTGAAAACATCACATAACGTATAACCTCTGTTCATGGAAGTTAGAACTAAGTTAAGAATGGTTGAAAGTTAAGAATTGGGGTGCTAGTGGAATACTTATAACCAGGGTTACTTCCACTCACTTGCTATAAAAAATGTTTTTCGGAATTATTTAATCATGAAATATTACAATGCTAATTCGTACTTGTAAGCAGGCTTGCTTCCACTCACTTGCTATAAAAAACATATGTTTGGAATTTTGAAATCATTAGATGTTATAATGGTAGCTTGTACTTGTTAGATACAAGAAGAGATTGAAAGGCAAGTGTTTGATACATAAAACCTGTCAAATTCGCTTTCAGATAGTCACAATTAGCGATTTTACGACTCGCGACCGCTCACTCTGAGTGAGCGCTCATGAATCATAAAATCGCTTATTGTGACACTCTGAAAGCGAAATTGACAGGTTTCATGTGTCAAACACATACTTTGCAACCTCTGCTTTTAACTTTCAAGTACAAAATATCATAATAACATCTAACGATTTTATAATTCTGAAAAACATTTTTTTATAGCAAGTGAGTGGAAGCAACCCTGCTTGTAAGTTGCAAGAAGAGGTCATGAAGTATATTTTTGACACATAAAATCTGTCAATATTGCTTTCAGTGCATCACAATCAGCGATTTTACGACTCGTGAGCGCTCACTCTGAGTGAACGCTCACGAATCATAAGATCGCTGATTGTGATGCGCTCAAAGCGAAATTGGCAGGTTTTATGAGTCTTACCCATACTTTACACCCTCTTCCTGTTACTTACAAGTGTAACATAGCATTATAACATCTAATGATTGCATAATTCCGAAAAATATTTTTTAATAGCAAGTGAGTGAAAGCAACCCTGCTTGTAAACAGAAAAAAAGCGAGTCTTTACCACTTAATTCCATTAAATAAATTGTCGAAATTGAGTATTCTTTGGCATCTTCTAAGGGAAGATGCATAAATGACGTAGCATTTTAGGGTGACCAGTCATCTTGAAAAATAAACTACAACGGGGAAGGAGAACAACATGAAACGTAAATAAACGTTGAATGTCTGTCTACGTTTGCTGAAGCACCAATTTTGGACCCCCTTGCCCTTGTAGCGTATTTTTCTACATGGCTGGTAACCCTAAAATGTCACGTCATTTTTGCATTTTCCTTAATGCAAAAGATTATCCGTAATGTTAATCTTCTTCTCTTTATATTGGATCGACTGAGAATGGAATGGCCTAAAAAGGAAAGTGAGAGAATGAGACTATTAGCGAATTCGTTTATTATTCAGTTCCAACCTGGATCGGGTATCAAGATTGGGTCTGCTTGTTTTCTGACAAACGTCAGTTTGCTCGTTTGTTTTTAAAACCTAGCTCAGGTTGAGGTTCACACTGACAAAAAGTTCGGTTTCGCACTGGGTTGGAACTGGTGTTAACCCCGATAATAAACGAATTCGCTATATGAGTGTGTAGGTAAGTGAATTATACGCCAGAGCGTGAGAAGATGATGGGTGAGAAGTGAGTTAGCAAATTAATGCAAAAAAAAACTTCCCAGGAAATGCATGGGGTATTCAACTAGTATAATAAGTATAACTAGCATTATGATGGCTACCAAACTTTTGGATTTTTTTCTATTAAAGAGTGATTTAAATTGATCTTCTTATTTTTATCTTAATTGGAGTGCAAAGTGTGTGGTGATGCTGTGAATAAGCACGCTTCTCGGCAACGGGACAGGCGTGCTCTGTTACAGCATCGCCACGCACTTTGCTCCCTTTGTGTTCTGACAGTTTTTTTTCCCTCTGTTCGGGACCTATCACCTATTGTAGTATATACCGTGTCCTTGGTTTAGTGCATGTCGTATTACTCCATCACTATTGAAAAATGATGAAGTATTCGATTTTTTACAGTTGTCATTCTTGCATTTATCGCAAGGATCCGACTCTAATTGAAAGGTCCTATTGATTAGTATATAACTCGTAGATTAAAGATGGATTCTTCAGTGGTGTTGAGTACTTGGCACTGATGAAGTCTGCAAGTAGTAGACGAAATACGCGTATCTGTCAAAAGATAAGCAATTATAACGGAATTAAAAGGAAATATACCAACCCACTCAAAGCTCTTCATAAAGGGATTCCGTTAAGAGGTTCGACAAATTTAAAGGATTAATCATGGCTTCCAAGCTTTCAGAACCTAATAGGTACATATCACTAAAGAAATCCATCGTAGGTTTAAGGAAAGACATAGCATTTCTTAAGAAATGCCGAAAATTAAATCTAACACCTATCAGTCATAAAATTAAGGTTAAGACACCAACTCCCTTAAAAGTAGTTCGTAAGATGGAGTCAGAATTTATAAAAGCAAGCATTCAGAGTCTCTACTCAAAGTTGGAAACAAAGTCGTTGGAATGTTATTCCCTGCATTTGAAATTGGCCAAAGAATTCACAATTGAATTTCCACTGTTTTTGACTAAAGTAAAAGTATTGGAGGACTGCGAGGAAAAAAGGAAAAGAAAGTTACATAACAACAAACTGAGGTCACTACAATACTATTTAAATTACACAACACAACAGAGAGACCAGAAATCACACAGTTCAGTTAACACAGCTGTGGTTCAATCCGTCGAAGGTTTTGTGGTGAATCGCTCGACGCAGCAGTTCTCAGAAGAACAATTGACACTTCTCAACAAGGGATTAGGATATGCGATCTCCTCAAAACCTGACGTGGAAGAGACCATCGTTGACATGGAGACTGCAATCACTCACACACTTCCTATTCAATTACACGAGACTGCCAGGAATATTATTTCAGAGACAATACAAAACGGAAAGGGACATTCACTTAATAAAACCGAAAAAGAGGAAATTCGAATTATCAAAGAACTAAAAACAAAGCCGGTATTCTACACAAAAGCGGACAAAGGTAATGCAGTAGTGATTTTGGACAAAGAGGACTATGACAATCGGATGACGGAAAAAATTACTAATGGCCTATACAGACAGTTGAGGATTGACCCGCTCCCACCTATAGTTAAACATGTGGATAAAACGTTGAAAGAGTGCAAGGCGTTTATTGGCAACAGTACGAATCAATTGAAAGTTTCAAACCCTATTCTACCTAGGATCAAAGGTTTACCAAAGATTCACAAACCAGGAAACGAAATGAGGGAGATTATCTCGGCTGAAGGATCCCCCACTCATAAGCTTGCCAAATGGCTAGTGAAGGAATTTCAAAATATGCCTAAACCCTTTTCCACTCGCTCAGTTAACAGCACACAGGAATTCGCAAGTCAGCTTCAGGCATCAGGAGAGATTCGGGAAGATGAAGTCATGGTTTCATTTGATGTCACAGCACTTTTTCCGAGTGTACCAGTAAATGAAGCCATCAGCCTTTTAGAGGACTGGCTTCTGAAGCAACGTGAGGATTCTACTTGGAAAAACAAAGTTCGGTCATATCTCAAGCTTACTCGTCTTTGTATGGAGGAAAATTATTTCATTTTCAGAGGTAATTTCTACAAACAAACTAAAGGCGCTCCTATGGGCAATCCGCTTTCTCCATTTTTATGTGAATTGTTCATGGCTAACCTAGAAAATACTCTGGAGGATAGGAATTTGTTGCCCAAATGTTGGTATAGGTACGTGGATGACATCTTTAGCATTGTCAAAAGGGAAGATTTATCAAAAACTTTGGAGGCTATAAGCAACGTTCACAAGGACATCAAATTTACTCACGAAGAAGAGAGAGACGGTAAACTCCCCTTCTTAGATCTTCTCATCATCAGGGAAACGTCTTCGTTCAATTTCGAAATCTATAGGAAACCAACAAACACAAAGAGAGTAATACCAAGCACTTCAAACCATTCCCATCAACACAAAATGGCCGCTTTTCACCACATGGTTCACAGGATGCAAACTCTTCCTCTTAGTGATACAGGCAAATCAAAGGAAATAGCTCACATTTTTTAAATCGCTAGACTTAATGGGTATCAAGAAAAAACAATTCAAGCAGTAATCGATAAAAGAACAAGGGATCATTTTAGGCGTATTTCGACAGCTCTTACTCCAGTAACTGAGGGTTTAAAACGGGTAGCGGTGAATTTCGACAAAAACATTACCAAACCATTGATTTCAAAGTTTAGAAGTTTTGGCCTCGGTTTAGTATTCAGCAGTAGGATAAATCAGCTGAAGTCACTGTTAGGATCAACTAAGGATTCAATAAATGTCTTAGGGAAAGCCGGAGTCTACAAAATCTCTTGTCCAGATTGCAATAAAATCTACATTGGTCAGACGAAAAGGACTTTGGAAACAAGGTTTAAGGAACACATCGCAGAGGTAAAAAAGGTTAACAAAGAGATGGATAAAGGGCTTCATTATGAATTTAAATCCAAGGTTGCAGAACATATCGTTAAAAAGGGGCACAATTTGACTAAGGAAAACATTAATATCCTGCGGACTGTATCTTCACCTTGGAAACTAGACGTAGCCGAAAGTCTAGAAATATTTAAACATAATCCATCAACATTGCTTAATAGAGATCAAGGAAACGGATACTCGAGACTCTTTAGCATGCTACCTAAAACAACACATCGTAGCATGCCTCTACCTGTTGGAGACTGAATTTAGGTACCTGTTTAGGTAAATTTTGACATGGCAGTGGATACCTGCTGATTTTTAGTACCTATTGATTAGTATATAACTCGTAGATTAAAGATGGATTCTTCAGTGGTGTTGAGTACTTGGCACTGATGAAGTCTGCAAGTAGTAGACGAAATACGCGTATCTGTCAAAAGATAAGCAATTATAACGGAATTAAAAGGAAATATACCAACCCACTCAAAGCTCTTCATGAAAGGTCCCGCTATTTATACCCTTGGAGTGTTGAAACACCCTCCAAAGGTGCGCCCCTTTGTCAGTCAAAATTGGATTCCTTAGCAACAAAATTAAGGAATGACACCGATAATGACCATGCATCAGAACCTTAATCTTAATCACTTCAAACTAGGGAACAACGAATAGAAGATTAGGAATCACATAGATAGTTAGTCTCATTTTTTCCTTGCTTCAAGATCATCCTCGGTGGACGAAGCCGAGTCTTGTCATTATCAACAAGGCATAAAAAGTAATAAGGACTAAGATGTTTTCCTTGGATTACTGAAAAATCCTGCTCTCCTAGTTTGAAGTAGTCAGGACTAGGAATCAGTGGTAGATCTTACATCCCGTAACGTACCACGAAAAGGTGATCTACCCACGTTACGGGGCTTCTGACAGTTAAGAGAAGAATCTCATTGTAGCCTGGGCACTAGTGGCACCAGTACTTGGTTTTAATATTTTTTCCTTCCAAACAAACAGGCAAGCGAAAAAATGTCGTGACATTTTTTAACTGTTTTGTGCCAACGACAAACCATTTTCGCACAAAGAAGCAGACAAGACCAGTGGCGTGCTCAACATAAATTTCTGTCATGTAGAATATTGCTAATTTCAGGCCAATTACTGCATTTATGTGATGTTTATTGCATAGAATTATAATATATGACTGAATACTACAATCACTCGTAAGCATAGAAGTTATAATTATGCGTAAATAAGAGAGTTGATAGTTTACTCTCACCTCAAAGGACTCGGAAAAAAATCCGTTCCCATATTCGGGAACGAGAGGCGTTAACTATAGTTCACGGTGTACATTTCCTATATAGAGGCTTACGTGACGGACAAGGTTCGATCGGGCTAGGCATTTCTCGCCTCGAAGGAGGGAGAGGCCTAAGCAATCGACAAAGCTGGATCGGGTCAGACAAATGACAAAGCGCACCTCTTACGAGGGAGACACCTAAGCGATAGACCAGGTTCGATCGATTCAGCTATTAACATGGCGCCTGAAATGAAGGGGAGCATGATCTGAGGGAGCAGGGGCCCCAGGGCCAAAAACTAGATCACTAGTGCCGAAATTATGGGGGATGTGGTAATCACGGCAATCTAGTATTCAAGAAATCACAGTAGCCATTGCTTTGTTCGATTCGGTTAAATGTGTTCCAAGAACTTCAATTTGATTTTTGCTGTGACATTTCCTCGTTCTGCAATCAATTGATTCACGGTTTCCCTTAATCCCCTGCTTATTCCACCACCATACGAATAAATGTAACCAAATCAAAGGTCATGACTATCTTCTAATAAAGCTGCCCTCCGGAGTTTGCCAAAGTATGAGCGGTTGGAGTAATTCTCATAATCAGAATTTCAGGCACGAATAAAATTAACTAAATGGGTAATGAATATTCAACAATGTCGGAGAGAACACTCTCGAGATATAATAGAAAGGCAAAGGCGCTGTTCAGTTGTGTCACTCCCCTGTATTTGCCAATCAACCCAAAATGGCAAGCAAGACTGACCTCCCAAGGGACTATAGAAAACAGATTTCACGCTTTCCCGAGTTTTGCCTGTCGTCGCAGCAAAAGCGTCGGCGGCACTGTTCATTTTCATTTCCATCAAAGATTATTCAGGCACTAGGAATGGATGACCTCCTTCTCCTCCTCGTCATCTCGTCTCAACCACTCTTCCATACATTTCACAATGATAAAGCTGGTGGATATTTCCACGGCAATAGTCTTTTTGATGTAAATGAAATTTAATTCACCGGAATTAAACTATCGTTAATTTCAAATAATATACATCGGGACACATTGAAATTATAATTTAAAATAACACAAATTTATCCACGGGGATAACAGTAGTATTAGTTGTGCTTTATTGAAGCTCCTTAACATAAATATTACACGAGCTAAATGGAGGCGAGCGAAACCACCTACACGGCTGTACAAGACAAACAAGTACTGTGTATGGGGGAAATACTGTTTATCCGAAGGATTAATGAAAGCCATAGAAAGGATTCTGTCAGATTAAAGGATGTTTTCTTGGAAGACAGATATTAAGCATTCCGTAAAAGTTAATTTTGAAGCCAACGTCTACCAGTTTACTTAATTCTCCTAATCGAAATCTTCAACGAGCCCCACACGAATCAATATATTGACACGAATGGGTATTATTGACAATAATATTGATGTTGTGAATATAGAAATATTGTCAATACCGTCAATATAGAATGTATTAGCTATACGATTATTGTCAATAAAAGCAATAGTGTAGGGCCCACTCTCGAATAAGTTGAGTTCAATTCATGAGCATTTCTTTACGCTGTTTATCATCGTAACCTTTTCACTTGACCAATAACGTGGGTGGATCACCTTTTTGTGATGGGCTACCGATGTAAAATCTACCACATCGAACTCTGGCCCTAAACTCTTCTTATTGAGGGTTATGATCTAACCTCCCAGAAACTGAGGTTGAAAACAAGAAAAGGTTTGGATCAGGGTTCTGATGCATGGTCAAATATCAATATCATTGCTTGTTTTCGTCACTAAGGACATATATTTTGATTGATGAGAGTTCTCAGAACTTTTCGAATGATACGGTCGATACGGAACATCACAGTCACATAAATTTACACCAAATCTAGCGCTAATTGCGTGTGCGCTATATATCGTAGCAATTAACATGAAAACGATGTATGAAGGGATGTAGTGAAAATATAAACCATTTTTTTTTAATTAACCACTTCATTCGAGCAGTTTAAATGACGTTTACTACCACTCGAACTTCGAAATAAAAGATTATTTTGAGATTTTTTTTTTCTTCTAGAATCACGAGAAAAGTAGCTGACATTTGTGCGTTTCATAATAAAATAGAAATTAGTTGCTCCAGTTTTGAGAAATCGCTGGTAGAAAGTTACGCCAAAACTGCTTGACAAAGTGGTCAATTGGTTATACACCAAAATGATTTGACTTCCGAATTAAATCCTAAGCATAAAATGATTAGCACAGACAGGGAACTCGGTTTACCTTCTAGCAATGAATATGAAACTTTAATGCGAGAGGTATGTACCCACCTACAAACATACACAGATATCTTGTTTTTCAGCCCGCGAGCAAAAGATGTGTATCAGATTTCGCTTCTCAGTAGGATATCTGATGTTTTTATTATCTCCTCAGTCTATGCCCAAATGCACGTGTTGGGAGAAATAATGAGATAATTTGATAACATCCTCCCACCAAACGGTAACGACTTCCAGCCGAGAAGATGAAGCTGGTTACATTTGATAGTACCTTTTGAAGGGAGCCAAGGGACATTGTCGGTGGGGGACCGCTTTTTTCTCAGGCTGTTCGCGTTCACGGATGATTCCTGGAAAAGATTATGGAAATGACGATCCGTAGGAGGAAGCTTTGTTTTTACGAAATCTCTGTTTACTAGAAGGTCTTTTTTCACAATAGCTGGAAGCTGAGAACCAAACATTAAACTGAATGTATGAGTTGAGAAATTTTCCATTTAATGGGTTTATTTTACCGGCTCGATAAAGTTCAATCAAGTTTAGGAAATCAGAACCCAAATTTTTCTGCATGACCACTTTTGTTAGATCGAAATATACATCCTTCTTGCAGTATAGAGCTACCGATAACCAGGTTTCTGGTGCTAACCGCGTAAAAGTCCAAATTATTTCCATTGCTAAAATTAATGCTGTATAGTGCACCTGTTCACCCTATATCCGGTGAGCATACTGGATACTTTGGAAAACTCTCTACAACTGAAACATGAACAACAGTTGGAAAATCAGTGCCCGTGCAGAGAAATCTCGGAAATTTCGCCGTGCATAAAATGAAGTTACGGTTGAACTAAGTTAAACAGGAACAACAACGTCATATCACCATCATCACATTGCATCCAGCGAGAACATTGGCACCATGACCCGAACCGAGCAGTTATGCATTGCTAGATGTTGGTTGAAGGTGCTACGGTATTTTGCACGCTGTCACTACCACCAAACGAAGCGTACGTTTGGCATGGTCTTGCTCTCGACATGGTTATGAGGAGAACTGTATGAAATATAGTACTGGCACTATTTCTGAGGGTGGATGTTTGCTGCAGACTCTGTAACCGGTGCTCTGATGCACTTTGCTGTGGTTCAAACGAGGGGTCTACCAAATTAATACAAATACCATTAAAAGTAATCATTGAACGCTTGACAGTTTGACACTATTGTCAAATGCATCAACATAATTAATTAAAATAAAATTCAATTTGTACAAACCCAAAAGAAAAGCATTACGTACTCGATAGATTCATTGTGAGAAAGCTCAAGCCCAACGCAAAATAAATATCAACAGCTTCCAATTGTCAGTAAATTATTTCCGGTGCATTGATTGCACTGAACAAATATTATTTGAACCAAATCGTCACATCCCTCGCCAATATCCAAACAAACACGACCCAAAGGCATGTAGGTTGCCACTTTGCTTTCCAGTAAAAGCCGGAAATTTTTTGACGAGGCCCAATTTGAGTTGTTGGTTCTGGTTTGGTGACAGGATGTTGTTGCACAGTAAACTATTTAATTGTCATTAAAAGTAATTCCCTAGAGTAAATGTTTGCGCTACGTGATAGGCACAAGTTTAATGGTAGTCTGTTCTTCTTGTTTGTTTTTACAGTTTGACGCAATCACCGGCTTCTGTCGAGCAACGAAGGAATATTGCCCTCCGGGACCACCAGGCCTACCCGGTATTCCAGGCCCGAAAGGAAATCGAGGTGATGTTGGCCTTCCCGGTCCTGCCGGTATCGACGGGCGTGAAGGTAAGCCGGGTCCACGTGGCCCCAAAGGGGAAATCGGATACCCAGGAAACCCAGGACTGGACGGTAGAGATGGTGTTCCGGGCGAGCCGGGATTAGATGGTGTCCCCGGTAGAGCGGGCGCAGATGGTATACCTGGCCGTGATGGAAAGGATGGCACGCCTGGTATTAACGGTCAGAATGGGATAGACGGAAAAAACGGTGAGTGGATGCGGTTAAATGGAAATGGTTATGACGAAACTTTTGCCTCGCTTAGACTGAAACGATTACAACTGGGCTGTCGCCGTGGCCAATTGACGATGCCTGAAGCGCGGTCGGTGGCCGTATTCGTTGAAGTATTGATGGAAAAAGTTTTGCCTTGATTTTTATGATGACGGTAACAATAAGTGGATGTTTTTTTCTGCTTTTTCTTCAGGAACACCTGGACCAATGGGACCAATTGGGCCACCAGGCGTACTCGGACCAAGAGGTAAGTTTATCAATCGTTAAACAGTCTTTAATTAAGTACTCTCTTCAAGTTATATATTATTCAAGTCGGTGAAAGATGGAAAATAAATGAATATATTGCTTGGAGGCAAATTACAATTTAGATTTTATTGTGCAAGTATTAACTGTACACCTGATTTCAGGGTGCCTTCCATTCATTTTGGTTAAAAAAATGTTTTATATGAATCCTGATGAATGTGGGCGTCTTAGTGGAATACCTGATAAAGAGAGAGAGAGAGAGAGAGAATGATTAGTAATTTCCATTTAATTCCACTACCTTACTTACTTATCCTTGACAGATACACGTATTTCGTCTACAATGTGCAGACTTCTTCAGTGTCTTGTACTAATTAGTACAAGACACTGACGAAGTCTGCACATTGTACACGAAATACGCGTATCTATCAAGGATACGCAAATAAGGTAATGGAATTAAATGGAAATTACTAATCCTTCTCTCTCTATGTTTTATATATTATTAGATAAGATATTGTGATAATGTTTTGTTTGTGTAAGCAACAAGAAAACAATGTGAAGTTTGTGTTTGACACATAATACCTGCCAATGTTGCTAAATGAGAGTGGCAATAAGCGATTTTGTCATTTATCTCACCCACTCTTCGCTCTTTACTCTTCGCGAAGTGGCGATCAGAAAATCGCTCATTGTGATTCTGTCAAAGTTAAATTTGCATCTTTACTTGTTACTTAAATATACAAAACATCTTATTATTCCATAATTTCATAAAACATTTTTTTAGTCGAAATGAATGAAAGGCACACCGCTCATACAATCCAATCACAACCTTTCATTCATTTCGACTAAAAAAATGTTTTATGAAATTATGGAAAAATAAGATGTTTTGTATATGTAAGTAACAAGAACCACACCGATTTGGTCCTCCCTTTCCAATACAAACCAGCATAGAGAAAAATAATCAAAAATATTGAAGCAATTAAAAAATCTTAATATTAAGAAATCTACTTCAAATATCCTTGGGCAATCGATATAATTAGTTCAGCATTAAAAAAAACATTCCTAATTGCTTTAAATAGAACACATTTAACTAAAAAGCACTAGATCACAAGTTTTCCAATTGTTATAATGTTTGACAGGGCTCCATGCTACTTACTAACAAAAACAATACTATAATATCGCTACCTGTGTGGCAACCGAGTTGAAAAAGCACTGCTTACTTCAACAGTTTGTTTTAAAGAAGTCATTAGATTCAAACTGCAGTGACCTTTTTTGCAAAATTAATACAGAAATCAACTTTAATTTCACCAATTTTTAACTCGGGGGATGATTTAAACAAGATTTCTCTGTTGTTAACACTCAGGGATGGATTATTGAGATTTATTTTTCCAATACTCTATTGGTGGTGGATTGGATTTTTCGGACCAGTTTCTGGCTTGGCTGTCACCATACGACCACCAGGATTGGTTAACTGATCTAGCTTATGGTTACTCGTACTCCAGCCGGCATCTACGAGAGGTAGAGTTACTGGACAAGTAGCTAAGGATCACTAATTGAGGTGGAAGTACCGCATAGTACCAACCCAAGTGACATTTTAAGTTTTAAAGGGTGATACGGTCAAAATTTGGTCAAGGGAAAACGCGTGTAAATCGGTGAAATCGTTTATTTAAAAAATCAAATTAAATTTCTTGTTCAAGTTCAATTAGTATAAAATTCAGGAAAAATATTCAGTTAGGCTTCCGCTTTTCCAAATCCGAATTGCCGGGCCTTACGCTTGACCCCTGCCATCAGATTTTGTACAGCCACCTTGTCCACCTTCTTCGCCGCAGAAAGCCAGTTTGCCTTGAACTGCTGCTCGCCCTTAGCAGTTTTTTTGGTCTTCTTTAGGTTCCGCTTGACAATAGCCCAGTATTTCTCAATTGGGCGGAGCTCTGGCGTGTTGGGAGGGTTCTTGTCCTTGGGAACCACCTGCACGTTGTTGGCGGCGTACCACTCCATGGCCTTTTTACCGTAATGGCAAGATGCCAAATCCGGCCAAAACAGTACGGAACAACCGTGTTTCTTCAGGAAAGGCAGCAGACGTTTATTCAAACACTCTTTCACGTAAATTTCTTGGTTGATAGTCCCGGAAGCTATGAAAATGCTGCTTTTCAAGCCACAGGTACAGATGGCTTGCCAAACCAGATATTTCTTTGCGAACTTTGACAGTTTCATGTGCTTGAAAACATCTGCTACCTTTCCCCTTACTTTTGCCGTATAAAACTCCTGTCCCGGAAGCTGCTTGTAGTCGGCTTTGACGTAGGTTTCGTCGTCCATTACCACGCAGTCAAACTTCGTCAGCATCGTCGTGTACAGCCTCCGGGATCGCGCTTTGGCTGTCGTATTTTGTTTATCATCGCGATTTGGAGTCACTACCTTCTTGTAAGTCGATAGTCCGGCTCGTTTTTTGGCTCGATGCACGGTTGTAGACGATACACCCAGCTTATTTGCGGCATCTCGGAGAGAGAGGTTAGGGTTTCGCTTGAAACTACCGGCAACTCTCTTTGTCGTCTCAGCGGCTTCCGGTTTTCGATTTCCCCCCGATCCAGACTTCCTGGCTGTCGACAAACGTTCCCCAAACACTTTAATTACATTTGTAACGGTTGATTTGGCAACTTTTAGCGATTTTGCCAACTTTGCGTGCGAGTAGCTCGGATTTTCGCGATGCGCGAGCAAAATTTTGATACGCTGCTCTTCTTGCTTGGACGGCATTTTGACAACTGAAGAGTGAATTCCAAAATCAAAATAGGAGCAACATTCTACACACACACACCTTCAAAATGAGGGGTGTTCAGGTTTTTTAAATGCAAAATTGAAAGAAATACGTCAAGTTGATATTGACCAAATTTTGACCGTATCACCCTTTATAATATGTGTGTGTGGCAAACGAGTTGAAAAAGCACTGCTTACTTCAACAGTTTGTTTTAAAGAAATCATTAAATTAAAACTGCAGTGACCTTTTTTTGCAAAATTAATACAGAAATCAACTTTAATTTCACCAAGTTCTCGGGAGATGATTTCAACAAGATTTCTCTGTTGTAAACACTGTGAGACGGATTATTGAGATTGATTTTTCCAATACTTTAATGGTGGATTGGATTTTTCAGGCTAGTTTCTGGCTTGGCTGTCACCATACGATCAATGTCCCACCAGGATTGGTTAACCGATCTAACTTATGGTTACTCGTACTCCAACCGGCATCTACGGGAGGTAAGGGTAGGAGTTACTGGACAAGGGGAAGGACCACTAATTGAGGTGGAAGTACCGCATAGTACCAACCCAAGTGACATTTTATTTTTAATGAAATACTACAAAGCCACCATAAAACAACATTCATAAAACCCTGGTGAAGGCTGCTTTAGCATTGATGCATCCACCAAAACCTTATTAAGACAATCATGTGTTTTTTTCAATCTTTATTTAAGAGATTTTTAACCAAAGGCTAGTTTATCTCTTGACTATCAAATGTCTAGTTGGCCCACCCTGGAGAAGGTCCTGAAAGGTGTATTCTCGAAGCTCTTCAAGAATGTTATATGAACGCATTGAGAACCATTTAAATACCATATTTAAGCTACAATTAAAGCTATTTGGCAACAAAAAAAATCCATTTTTCGAGCCATTTTCCCTAGCTACTTACTAAATCCTCTAGAAAAACATCAATCAATATTGAAGATTTGTATAGATTTGTATAGATTTTTCTCCTTTAGCTTACTTAAATCTTTGGTTTTTATTAGTTAGGTAGGTTCCGATTCAACACATTGTAGTTTCATTTTTATACCTATGATCTTGACTTTTTTACCTAGGGGATGAGTACTTAAGGGGGTTAGATTTTGATAAGTTCTTTAGTGGGAATGACACTGATGAAGACTGCACATTGTAGCCGAAATACGTATCTGTCATGGATACCAAAATTAATTAAGTGGAATTAAATGGAAGATAAACCCTTTTGCTGTTTTATCAATCAATATAAAAAAGGAATTATGAATACCATCTGATCTTATCATCATAATTAAAATAGAAATTGATCGTATAAAAATCCTGATGAATTTCCAAAATTAATAAATTAGTTTCTCTCAACGTACGGTCCACGAGCTACCGACCGGTGGGTCACTTCAGATCAATCAAATCTAACAGATTATTGTGCAAAACCCAAATTTTCTTTATTAAAGATATTTTTAGCCATAGGCTAGTTCATCTCTTAGGGCAATCATCAAAAGCCCGCTGCTCTAAAATATAAATTGCCACTCCCCAACCTCCCAACGTTTACATCTAAATTAGACTTAGAAAGCTTTCGATCAACAACTTTGTCTAAAAGAACATTATGCTGAAGCTAGACGTAAAGTTCCAAAAGGGATGTAATGATCCCAAGAGCTACTTTTAAATCGATTACGTCATCGACTAATGTTTTTGTCACTATGCAATCCAAATAATACGTAAACTTTACAAAATATATTTGCACAATTGCACCACGAAATAGCTCCTATTGACCTACAACTCAAATTCCTTTCCTTTATCCGTATAGCAGTACCACTAGGCAAATGCATTCATCATTCACGCATCCATAGCCTAAAGTGATTGCTTGGTGCTCTTCTCACATTCCTGCCAAGCTGTCATTTCCGGTCGGTATCCAACCGAGTCCATATAACTCGACACCCAAAGCAGCTGTCAGTCGGATCGACAACTTGGCGGAAGTCAATTATGCATCAATCTTTTACCAACCATTATAATGGCTTTTGCTCGTTCTACTACAATGCAGTAGCAGGACGTGGATTTCAATAATGCCCAATCATTCGCCATCGATTACGGGAGAGATTATCGAAAAAATAAATGATCCCGACCTCGAACGATGCTTCTCGTCGTGCAATATTGATGAGCTACCCATTTTCTTGCACTGGTAGATATCAACATCATCCCTCCACTTTACGAGCTACGGGATGTGATGGATTATGATCTTAGTGTAACAAGTCTGCCTTTTTTTTTTTCTCGAGGACTCTCGAAAAAAGGAAATGTGTCATAAGTAAAAAGACAACTAGCTTCTAGATATCATCTGATCTTTTTCAAGCAGAAAAACACAAAATGGATTGAATGAAAACCAAACAAAAGTGGGGTAGATAAAAGCTGTCGTTTAGAATACCCAAGGGACACTTCAGAGCTGGGTCCACTTTGATAACGAGGCAAAACATAGAAAAGTGCCATTCTTGTTGGTTTTGGAAGATTTGTGGCCTTTTCCACCTTATTGTTGTGCTGCTGGATTTAAGATAAAGAAAAAGGTGACCTCAATGCACCTTAAAGTTACTACTGAGATATATCGAATTTCTCTTACTTCAACTTCCCACGTAACAAAGTAAAGAGCACATTTCGTGCAATAATATTAAAAAAGATTGATGCAAAACACATCTTTTGCGTTGGCATGAATGTTACCACCTTTCCCTTTGAAATAGAGCATTTCAACCCTAGATTAGATTACAAAGGCTTTGCATGATATTACATTCAGCAAACGAGCAAATTTACTCTTCCTTTAGGGAAAAACAAACTTGTTGTGTGTAACATCCGCTTACTCCAACTGAAAATCGTAAGAATACGACACACGAAAATGGTAAGGCACTTTGCGTATATCTATGCAAAGAATCCTTTTTAGTATGCTCATCTTCTATGGCGGTGTCTCGTTGTTTTATGTTTGTTTTTAATTTATATTCTTGCTTTAGACTCATACAGCAATTTGTTTATGATCGAGTTAATATGTTTAATAATAGTGTAGTAACATTTATGTTTGAAGAGTAAAATCAAAAATTCAATTAATGAATCATGGTAAGCGGTCAATTTTCATCCCATCACTATTTACAGACAGCTAGCCTTATTTTTGTAAATACTATAAATCATCCAAAATTAAAATGTTTTCGGTAATTGAGGCTTTGTAAATATTTTTAAATTACAGGCGGCAATTTCACAAAATTTGTTTAAGCATATTCATAATAACTACACGCAAAACAAATTCCTCTTACATCCAATATAAGGTTGGATTTATTACATCATCTGCATTCATACAACAAATATAACGGCAGTTCTTGCCGGAATAATAATCTAGCATACAAATTACAAAATTATATTAGGAACCTTCCGGTGACCGCATTACAGAATCTATGCATGTCGCGAAACATTGCAAATTCTGTACAAATCTGTGATAGAATCTCACATCTTCCGGTTGGGTGTAGCTATCAATACAAATATTTTCCATTATGCAATAATCATGCCTTCTAACTAATTTTTACTTAAGGGGCCAAACATAGCTGATGAAACTAGCATACAAGTTATTCGTTATTATTATTATTATTATTATTTTCTCATCGTAAAACCTCAGCAACCATTCCATTTTAAGTACAGTAACCAGCTCCTTGGATCTCTTCGATACTAACAAATAAATTCAAACAAGTCGACAATACTTGTTCCGAGAACACACCTTCAGCAAGGTTGTTATTATATCCGTCGATTGCTTTATTCGTTGAAGATTTGTTTTTCATTTCCCGACAGTTCCCGATTGTTTGGTTCAAAGATACCCCGGTTCATCCAACCACCATATCCATTCCAAAGGAAGATTGATTGCTTTTGCTGCTACACGCAAGCTTGGCAGGTTGAGAGAAATCCAGAAAGCTGGTTAACGTCAGGCAGCTTCATACAAAAAGATGTGATGTGTGTGTGGGTTTGTGTTTGTATGTGGAAGAGTGTAGTGTAGGAAGGCATTTTTTGGAGGGAGCAGTTAAGAACGTGTTGGATTACTTTTTTCACCTGACGAAGTAATTTTGAGTTTTTAAGGCATCCGATGAAAGGTTTAAAAGGAAAGCGTTGAATTTTGTTTGTTGGAAGTAAGTGCACGGAGAACAAAACACGTTTATAAATATTGAATTTCAGTAAAAGATTGGACATGGTTCATGGAAGGATTCTTATTTGGAAGCAATTGCATGCAGTGAATTAAAGTTATAAATATTTATTTTAAATTTTAAAACATTTCGTTCAGTGTAAAAATTAAGCCGCTTTTATTTGTTCCCATATTGCAGGCCTACACGGACCCCGAGGTAAGCCTGGACGATCGGGTATCAACGGTACGCCCGGAACACCCGGTATCAACGCGTGGAAAATTAAGGTCAACGATACGTTTTCCAATGAGCTGCTCGTACCACCCACGATAGCCGGATCGGGCACACCGGAAGCACTCCGTCCCATAATAGTTAAGGAGGGCAATCACCTCAGATTGCGATGTGCTGCCACTGGAACGCCTAAACCACACGTCGAATGGCGCCGAGAGGACGGAAAAACAATCTCCAATGGTGCATGGCAAGGTAATAAAGAGCCATTCCTTCATGCTTTTAGAATCCTTTCACAGTGTGTTACCAAAGTCGTCTATTGTCCTATCGGGAGCTGTAGGATGGAAAATTGAATTTAAAACTTTCATGCTTCTCTTCTCAACATGCTCTCTTCGTTCCATGCCACCGGCTATTGTCTTTCGTTTGACTCGTTCATGTTCTGGCCGATGGATGACGACAACCTGCAGCTTCGTCGATGGCCGGCCACACGCTCAACATTACCAAAATCAATCGAGTGCACATGGGAGCTTATCAGTGCTTGGCAGACAACGGAATTCCACCACCGGCGAACCAGACGTTCAACATCGAAGTTCAATGTATGTACCATTGACCAGCTGAGGCAGGAATTTCATCACTTTATTTGCCGTACCCCTTCCCATCCTCCACGGACAAAGGCAAAAGAACTCTCCTCCGTAAGCTGCTGTGCTTGAGTGCTTCAGTTTCAATTTGCAATGGATTAGCTTGAATTTTACAACGAAATTATGTTTTGAACTATTTCAATTCGCGAATACTGATCTGTGTGTTTTGTCATGATTTGGATACTACATCTAATTAAAACTATTGCTAGATGATACATTGATGCTTTCGCGTAAATTGAGTACAGCAATGTGATTGAATTTATAATTCAGAATACAACATTGACGTTGAAATGTATTGAGGATTATATGTAGGAGGATTTCGATCATATTGAATCGGTAGAATTAATGGCACATTCGTGATACATAGCTGCATTTTGCTACGCATTTTGTAGAAAGCAATCAAAATGGCCCATGTGTTCAGCCTTCTTCGACATTGGGAATTTAGTTTTCGGGAATGAGATTTGAACTAGTGACAGACGTCCACACTTTAATTGAAGAGCCTTACAATTCTTTGGTGATCCAGCCGACCCTATCTGATTTGGATGAAACATTACACATGTCTATAGTATATGCCTGTATAGTGATCGAAGCGAAGTGGAAATCTCATATTCGATTTTCACCAGCGTGTAAAATATAATTGACAAAAATCCAGCAACCAATGTCATAACGGAAACAATCGATTGGTGGATCCTTAAGGAATTGGTATTTTATATTTTTGATTTTTAAGACAATAAACGAACAAAAATGTCCGTGAATATTTATCCTACAAAGCTCTTGTTAACAACTTATTTTTTTTAATTCTTTATTAAGGAGATTTTTAGCCTATCGCCAGTTCATCTCCGGGGTTAACAACTTTTTTTCGGATACAATTTAGATACGATAATCGGTTTTGTAGTTAAATTCCCTCCCCTTGGCTAGTTTTTGCACCTTGCTATTGGTGGGCGGGCTTAATTTCATGCTAGTGGAGTGTTGGAGACGGTAGGTTTATGGTCGGCGTTGCTGGCTCATGCCGCGATAGAATGGCGTCATGGGCAGGCAATGGCGATTACTTAGCTTCCCCTCTCTGATAAACCACTGCATGAGAGAACCAAAGATCTAGTCTAGCAGTGATAGTATCACACTTGTTACTCCTTTTATTGAGAGCCGCGTCGTAGTACGCTTACGTATAGGCACTGACGTTGGGTGTGATACTGGCGGGTTTTGCCGCAAATCACTTTTATTTTATTTATTTTTTACGCAGATAGGTTTATTTGGGTTTGCAAGGGATTTATACTATTGAAATATTTCAGAAAGTGCTCATCAGTGCTCCTTCTATTTGCGTGACAAGCTTTCATTGTTGTTTTCATTGAGGTATTACTCAGGGAACAACGTTAAACACCATTTTGGTACATGGTATTGTAACTAATCTTATATGTGCTTCATTTTGATTTGGGATAAGTGTTTGAACTATGGTTCGGGATTTCCACTGTGGTGTGCTTCTATTGTGACATACCCATAAGTATTTTTGTGGTGCGACATAGTGGAAACGTGAGAGCGTAATTGGAACATATACCCTATATAATTTAAATATCAGCTAGGAAACTAACTTCAAAATGAAGCATTTTAGTCACATGAAGGTGTTACCTGGGTCGAACTAAGATATAATAAATAGGTATAGGCTTAAATCCAAAGTACTTGAAACACGTTTAATTTTAGATTACAAGCACAAGTGCAGGTACTTAATAAAGCATGGGTTATGCTTGATTAGGTGAATTAGAGCTTTTAATAATTTATTAAATTAGACTAATGAGATATCATAATCATCAAATGAACTTAAATAACAAACTTCAGAAAGTCTAATAACATTAAGTAGATTAACAAAAGAATTAGGATGCGGGGGGTCCGCTTAGAGAGGCAACTAACCTTTAAAGTTGTAGAATAAATCTTCTTATTTAGTCTTGAACTTTAAAAAGAAAACGCAGGCAGACCAATAGCATTTAGCAGATTAACAAGGAGAGGAATAGTTTAGGAAATAAGTAAAAGTAGAGGTATGTGACAATTAATAGCTTTTAAACTTTTGGAGGTATTGTATTCCCCTGAGTTTGTTGTACTCGATTACTATATAATTCTCTCAATACGCGAAATCTCTTATATATGCGGTTAAAGCATTTAAGTTAACTTATTTCTTAGTGTTCAAGTACTTACATTTGTAAACAGCAGTCAATGTTAATCTATGAACTAAACCATACGTAAAATCGATCTTTCCTTATGTGGTATTGATGCATGTTTAACTTTTCGCGGCTGTCGGAATCAACGCGCCTACGTCTTCGGAGCTTATGCAGAAGTGATTCGCAATGCGGTAGAGCTCACCAAAAGTTTTTTTTGAGCTTCTGTAGTATAGAATTTGTTCGGTACGGTCGCGAAATCTTGAAATGATTGATACGTGCGGTAAAATAACTAAATTGAAACAAAGCTCAACAGTAAAATAAGTAGAATATTTAGGGAGGAAACCAAAATTAATCAACTTGCCAACATAGGCTATCACTTTGATTTTGGTGGCACTCTTTAAATGATAATAAGCCTTTTTTCCTCGCTTCGGTTGTCTCGCATGGCTTTCGGAATTCACGCGGTTTTCGTAACTTACATAATTTAGATATTTCGTTCGAAACGGATTTACTTATTCAATCGGTTTACTACGCGGATGTATCAATGCAAAGTAATAAGCGCAATATTAAACGACATTAAATTTGAATCTGATACGGTAGGCCATATAACAGAGTCGATAGCCATTGCAAATCAACCATCTCTACCTGCTTATTTTCCTAACTTTCACTATTATTGCTGTTACTCTGACTATCCCCTATGTTCAACAGCTTTCCTTACTATCCGGTATCGTAAACAGGATTCATTTGACCCCTGTGGTTATTATTCTGTGATGCCAAATCTATACCTCTACCCTGGTGCAGTATGGACAGCGATTTTTCGCTGGTGACTTGGCCCTATGACCCCCTTCTGTGCTTGAAAATGAAATGAAAATGAAATGAAAATGATAATCGGTTTTGTAGTTAAATTTATTTTTATTTATATGTTAAAACAAACACAATCTTAGGATGCTGTAAACGTATTTCAAAACCACCCAAATCGGAATAAGATCCATCCAAATCGGTCAAAAGTGGATTCAGGTCGATTATATTCATTTGTGAATATCATTGTAATTATTGGATCTATATGATTGGATCATACTCAAATTTGGGTAGTTATAATAGCGGGAACAGTTCTTTGTTATACCGTAGAACCCCGTTAGTTTGAACAGTTAAAATGGGCTCATTTAGAATTTGTTAAAATGCTATCCTTACACAGGTGCCCAATGGCGCTATCTACCTGTCTAAGGACACTAGTTAAACAAATTCTCAACATTTATAAATCCTTTATTTTATTTTGGTGTTTGGGACATTTTCATTTTCATTTGTTAGTTTTTTTTTATATAGATGCTTGGACATTTCAACTTAAAAAAAAACATTGTAAACAGTTTTTAAACTCTAGGCCGCTCTTGATTATCTAATATGTATTTGATATGATTTTTCAACAATTTCCCACTATCAATCCACCGTTGCTGGTTTTATGAATCTACGACAATAGGCATTCTCACAGATCCACTGTTGTTCAATTTTCGTAGTTTTCTATTCATACCTATGCAAGTCGAAACTTCGTGCTGTAGTTCCTGAACTAACTGTGCTTTAATCACTTTCACGTGCTCGTCCCGCGAGAGTCATTTTTCATCTACGCGCAACAACAGTGCCCGACTGGAAAACATTTCGAGAGAACAACTTTCCCAATACGACGCGTGCATTTTCCCGCATAGGATCGTACTTTTCTGAACATACCGAAATAGTAGCACGTATCATTGTTTCATGCAATGCGGGGAATATACATTTCACTGTTTTTCACTCATTGTGCAGCAGCTTTCTCGCTTCTCGGAGCAGACTTTTGGCATTGCTACGGAAGGAAGTACCTCAGGAAGCGATTAACACCGCAAAACATGTACACAAAATGTTGCTTTATTCACTCGGTTTTGCTATTTCTGAACGAGGAGAGCTTTTTTAGCCGTCTAGGGTGTGGTGTGAAACAGAATTATGAATCAACTTCCAATTTTCAAACATAATTCAATTCTTGTGTGCTAACTGATTCCGTTTACGATTGCATTTGACACCTTCTAGTTCCGCCGTTGATAAGAGTGCGCAACCAAATGATCTACGCTGTAAATGACTCGACGGCTACATTCGAGTGTGAGGTGAGTAGATAATTCCTAAAATTTCCCAGAATTCAAAGTAAGTCCAAGTAAAATCAACAAACGGAGAAACTTACATCCAGTTCATACTGAATAAAAACTTCCCTAACATTGAATAACCAAATACTAAAGTTTATCCTTGCGTTTATTGAAAACTTTCCAAGATTGTTCAAGTAAGATATGATTCAATTTCTTCACATTGCAAGCTCCGATTCAATTACACGATATCGAAACACCCGTCTACCTGGTATTTCGAAAACCAAAAAGTTCGCCCAAGCTCTCGTTTCATGCTATTTCCCCATCGACGTCGAACTCCATAAATCTCTTGGCCACCAACGAAAAGGAGCATTGGTGCCCGCCCATCCCCACTCAAGTTCAATTTAAGTTATCTCATATTTCCCTTCACCTTGTTCCCACAATTCAACCGAACGGAACCCTTTCCTGAGTTTTGTTTCATTTTGGAATAAATTTTGACAAGTCTAGGCCTATCCCATACCACCTTGGTTCAGCACGCCATCTAAGGCTGTTTTTCTCGTTAGTGCCCGGTGGCAGTCATAAATCTAAATTTATACTTCGTTTGACGCTTCTGTCAGTAGAACGCTCTCAGGTAACGCTTGCGGTTGGCGTCTGGATTGCGCTTGATAAGCATCATCCTTTATTTCCTTCATCGAGAAACTGAGTCCCCAGAGGCAACACAGCGTAAACAATTTTCCTAAGATGTTAGCAAGAGCAGCCACGCCACCATCGTTCAAAGTTGACGGTTACCAATCGTTGGTGGTGGTTCGACTAGGTTCTACGAATAAAAATGAAAACAATACTCGAAAGCCCTTTAGCATAGAGAGGACGTAGGATTAAATTCAACCATCTAGATGAACTCGAGGCGTAGATAGCCATTTGATTACAAATACAATTCCTAACCATGCAAGTGGAATCAAACTACGATTTAAAAAAAATAGAAAATTCCATCAACGACTACAATCTGTCGAGAAACACGATCCATTTATATTTGTCAGTGGTTTAATTATCTGATCTTTCGCGTATCAAACCACATTCCTTGATATGCGATCTGTTCTTCTAACTTTCAGGTGGAAGCATTCCCGGAAGCTGTAAAGTACTGGGAGCGTCAACCTGGAGGTCGTCTGTTAGAACCAGGAGACAAATTCCAGATGGAAACACACAATGACGGGTAAGGCATACATACAAAAGAAGTGAAAGCTCATAAAAAATCGTTTAAATTGTGTTCCTTCTATTGTTCGTCGTCCAACGTACTTACAACAGGCAGCGGACAATTTTCCACCAGTAGCAGCATGATTCATTTTTTACTCGTCGGCGTATAAAACATTGAATTTTTGCGGTGTGCAAGGTTTTTGTGTCCTTTAGTGGTCTCTGCACACTTTTTCTCGTATCTATTCAGGAAAACTTTGCTTCAAACCGAGCCCCGCTACTCGTTCCAATCGACATTTAATCCCTCCGTAAAATACGACCATACTCTGGCAAATGGTGGCATACAGCGAGCTCTACAAAGATAATTCTTTCCCGTATCCGTACATGTATACGGTGGGTGGTACCGTCCACCCAATGCTGTTTCTCGGCTGTCCTTTAACCAATTACACTGATTTTTTGTATGTGATTATTGTCAACCATAAACTAGTCATCTACAGAAAATCAGCTCAATTGGTTGAAGGACAGCCTAAAACTAGCTTTGGGTGGACGGTACCACCCACCGCATAAATGGAGGGATTACTGTACCTCTATGCTAGCGTCATTGTCATCTGGACAGCACTTTATTCTCCACGAATGGAAGCTGTGGAGATGTCTTTTTCCGCGCTATAGGCTACGAAAAGAAGATTACATACACGTATTCACTCATCGCTGCAAATTGATTTTTCTCGTCATTCTCTTAACACACTCAACCATACGATGTTACACCTTGATTCATTGCCATGCTTTAATACAAAATGTGATTGAATTGTGACTTTAACGGAATTAAATTCTTGTTTCCATGTAACTTTGAAACATCATTCTCGAAACTCGAAACGTAAACCTCAACCCTAGCTTATCCGGATTTTTGCCAAAGGCAATTGCTTTATCTTTCCCAGAACTGCCTTTTCGGCTAGAGGCCAATATCCGATGTTTTCAACCGTACGGGTTCGCTTGGTTTGCAAGCCTCTTATGATACGAGACTAAGCCTGTGGGAATTTTATTTGCATATGGAATACCCCTACTTGCTGCCGACCAGAAGCTTTAGATATAAGCCTTCACACCTACCTATGGTCTATGGAATCTGCACCACGTGTGGAGAAGCGAATGCCAACAAGTAACTCATCGTATGAAAAGGAAAGTGTAAAAGTTCGCAATCCGTCGCTCCGTTGTCCATCCAATCTCGACACTCTCCCTACCGGTTGCAAATCCTTCAAGTGTTACGTGTACAGTACGGATAAGGATTGTTATTCCTTTCACTTCAAAAAGAATCTTCTTCCTTTTGCAATGCAGCCGAAGGGGTTTTCCAACAGGATCGGTCCAGCCTAGTTACCGAACATTTGTATGTTATGTCATATCATGGGCGTGTGCTCATCTTACCGGTAGCTGCGGTTTCCGGCAGCAACAGACGGGGACACAGTGGGTATCGCAGATGTAGTTCATTGATTTAATGACATTGACCAAAGATCAAAACGACCACTTGTTAAATTATGGCGCTTCTACCCATAAATCCCTCCAACAATTCGTAGACACATTCCAGTGAATTGCGATACCACGAGGTGTCGACTTTGATTTACTTTTTGGGCCCGCTATAAAAAGTATACTTTTTCGTTTTTCTCCTCTAATTTTGATCGTCATATCTATTGCTACTAAATTTAATGAAACTTGTTTTAAAAAAATCACAAATCAATCAAAGAAAAATATAGTTGTATTATAAATCTTTTACCCATTCTGCATAAGATCAAAATCATCATAATCGGGCATAATCGGCAAAAGAAGAAGTCTGCAAGTACTGGACGAAATACGCGTATCGTCCAAAAGATAAAAAATAAAATGTAGATAACGGAATTTAAAGGACATTACCCAACCCAATCTATCTCCTATATAAAAAAAAAAAAAAAAACCCAATCCAATCCAGAAACTTTTCACGGTCGTTGAATCCGACTCAAATTTGAGTTCCAATTATTCAAATTTTCAAAAACACTGGTCGTTCATAGGTTTTTCCTTAAAAATCTGCTCGTATATGAGTTAGAGATGAACTAGCCTTCGGCTAAAAATCTCTCAAACATTAAAAAAAAAAATGCTCGTATATGAGAAAAGATGAGAGCAATTTTACTCATTCTATATCCCAATGACGCAGTGACTCGTAAACTGAGTATACTTTAGAGTAGAATTTCCTTATAATCAAGCAGATATTTGAGGAAAATTGAGGAAATTTTACTAAGTCTGAGTGACCTGCGTTTTTGCGAATTTGAGCAAATAGAATATATTCAACGGTCGTGTGTGATATCTTTTACATACACATATTTGGCTAGTTCTTGAAAATTTGTCAGTATCAAATGAAGTGGGCTCAAATAAGTCTGATATTAGGTGTTAAGTTACTTTAAAATATTGGTAATGAATACTAAATCACTCCCTTTCAGTTCCATTTTCAAAATATATGATCAAAAAATACATAAGCGTAGTAACCTTTTTGCATAACTGATTCAAAAGATTTTGTTTTTTAAACGAACATAGCTTTTTCAAGTAATTTATGTTAAAACCATTGGTTAGTACTTAACCATTCTTCTTTCCGTAAAACAACGGTGGGAATATTTCGCTCACCTTTCACCGTAATTAATTTTGTTTTAAAAACTCTTCACTCCACACGGCACTTACGTTTGTGATAATAACCCGAGGTTTGCACGAAAGATTCACTTCGGACATCACAAACCGAACCAAAATATGCATTCTGGAAAAACTGGATTGTGTACTAATGGACTATTAAAAGAACTGCCATTACATTTATTGTATGAAACATATGCAGAGGATGTAACAAATCCAACCTAACATTTCATGTTGAACACGCCGATCAGAGAACAAATCTTCTCAGTTTACGTTTATCTAGAATGTGAAGTCATGTTGAAACTTTACAATTCCTATTGATTTCGCCAGAATTAATTTTTTACCACTTTCTACCCAGCTACCCAATGTGTGTCTGTAAGGTCAGGTCTGCTCGAGCATGTCATACATAGCCTCAGGATGTGGTTCTTACCTCACGCTTCCTAGCTTCTTTTTCACTTTTCATTAGAGATGAAATTTGTTTTGAAATCAGACACAACACTGAGCGACAGCAGAAGAACTGGAAAATGCTCTGTGACATCGAGTGTGGTTTACTTTTCTGATTCTCTATGTTTCCTTTTTCAATTTTATTTTCCTTCTACCGTCGGGGTGCATGACGAGAGCTGCTTTTGTGGTTAAAAGCAGGAAATTTAATTAGAAAAGTAATCTACGCTCATGATCTTGTAACTTGAAAAGTTTTCTTTTTTTAGAACTTCACGGCAAGTTTCTAGGAATATTTAATGGTCTTCAAAATCTGGAAATTTCAGCAGGAATAGGCTTATAGAACGCTCATAGCAAAAATAAATGTACCGTGTGCTTTTACTCTGTCACACAGCTTTTTTTTCGTTTACGATAGATCAAAACATTGAACAAAACGAAAAAAACACCAAAGATTTTTTTTTGTTTATTAATTTATTTGATAAGGCTCAACCGAATTAACTTTACAGAGCCGAGGATTCTTGTTCACTTTACAATACATCTTACAACTATAGTCAAAAGGTACAACACAATAAACATTTTATCCACCAGAACGTACGGCAGATTTGCCAACGGGGGTCAAAGCACTTCCATTGCAGCAATGGACTAAAACGTGGTCCGCACTCACACATTCATCACGAAACGGTAGCTTTCCAAAGTCGACGCATCGACTGAAAGAACTGCTTATGAAAAACAATGAGGAGGACCACACAATGGTTGCTGCCGAGTAAACAGATGATCGCGTGACACACATTGAGAGTGGTCAGCTTCTGTCGTCAGCCGAGTGAACACCCCAACAAACAATTTGAGCTAAATAATGGCTGAATAAGCCATTTTTTACCTGAAGAATCATATTTTTGCCTGAATAAGCTCTTATTCTGTATGCAATGTTTGTTGGGACTTTATGATAGAATATTGATTTTTTTTTGTATTCCATCCTGACAATGCAGAAGCATGTGAGTGAACATGAACTACGTCGATCATTTTTTATTCTAAAACCCCTGTGTAGACAATTGTCGAAGCGTTTTTTTTTCTTCTTATATGGACCGTAGACAATTTTCAACTCCTGTAAAATGTCTACGTAGTTTAATAATGGCCCCTCAATGGGCTCACTTATTTTAGACCATGAAAATCAAAAGTAACTGTGGATTTCTTACATTCTCTGCATATGTTCCTTACAACAAATGTAACATACAATGGACTGTAGAGTACAAGAATTTTTCTTCCAGGATTAGGTATTATTTTCGTATAAAACCTTCACGAGATCATTTTCTAGCCGCAGTGCATTTGGAAAAAACATTTTCCATTTCAATTTTGTCCAAAACGCAAATGGGATCGACTTGCTATGAGCGGCAGTATATCTGAATATAAGAAAACTCTTGATTGATTTTTCAGTGGCACTGAAATATAGGAACCAACTGAACTGAAACCACATTTGTTTAATCAGTACCTAAACCCTATTTCTCAAGCTAAGATTCATAGGATAAATGGCATAAATGAACATCGCCTTATTCCACAGATATAAATCAATAATGCGGTTAAACATAACCAACATTAGGCAAACGGACTTTGGCGAGTACCATTGTATTGCCAAGAACGAGCTGGACATAACGCAAGCAGAGTTTCATTTGATGGAACACGCACCCTACATGATTCATCGGCCTGGCGGAATGGGCGATACACAAGAATATGGCAGACCACCGCCCAAAGTGGAATCCTACGAGGATATCTGTGGGCCGCCAACTAGTTGTCCTGAGTGTCCTGATCCAAGGTAAGGCTAGCATTTAACACAGGAGAATTTAAAATATCACTTGGCATACTTTTTCAACTCAAAGAGACATCAAATGCAAGGACGCGATTGTTTCATTGTACGATTTGGTTGGAAACTTGGAGATCAAACAGACTGGAAATGTGAGCTACCCAGGTTTACCAAATAGAACAACAGGTGGGTTGTGGCTTATTAAAAATTAAACTAGGAGACAGTACAAACTACACCTATACCCATTGAATTCATGTTTGGTGTTGCTCACATCACATGCATTAATACACGCACCGAACGATGTTTACAGATTGTGTCCTATACGCCGTTGGAAAGCCTGTGTATCACAAATTTACCGAACAAAACTACGGTGCATGGCTGAAGGATGCTGCTCCGAGGAATGATGCGGTTGAGAAGAAGATATGGGCCACGCGGGAAAACGACACGATTCGTCTGTACGAATTCGCCAACAAAACCACGTACCGAAACAATGTGGCCACCAAGACATATCGGCTGGACAAGCCATTCCGGGTGGGTATCCAATACATTCATCTAAATACAATGGAGCACATCAGGATGGGATTCAACATAGACGTGCTGTTTTCGAACACTCTGGGATAACAAGAATCACGAACATGAACATCAATTAAAACGCACGATGACATAGACAGACAGACGAGTGTGGTTTTGATGATGGTTGATCTGATTTTGCAATGATTGAAGTGCGGAGCATTGTTGATATTATGCAATTCAATTGGAGTTTGTTGTGTAAGCAGCACAATACAAATTATTATCTTTCCATATCATCTAGTGGTTTGTTTTAAATTGCAACAAGTGCAAATTAATCAATCTGGATAATTAGACTGCAAAGTTATTAAATGGCATGGGAGTATTTTTGAAAAAGGTCGGTGTATTTAATTAACTTTATTGCAGAGATGCATTACAATGATTGCCCTGTCTAACATATATGTATTTCAAATTGAATTCCACATACACACACACACACCCATAATTAATACCACACTCTATTATCAACGAGCAAGATCACGATACATAACTTTAATCCTAATAACAATGCGATCAGCCTTGGGACTAGACGGCAGACATCCAACACAGAAGACGAGAGGGTAGAAATATACTAAGGATTTTGCCAAGCCACATAAACCAGTATTATATGACAGCAATGACAATAACATTCGCTATCTTGTCATGTACGAGTGCCGCTGTTGTGTTCCCTCATCTTCTCATCTTTTCTCACATTTTGTTGAAATCTAATACAGGGCAACGCTCACGTGGTCTTCAACGGGTCATTCTACTACAACGAGCGGAACTCGCCACGAATCATCAAATATGACCTCAACCTGGAACGGCAGACCGGTAAGTGAATGTCATGTCGGTATGGTGCACACGTACATGCGTTTACAATGGATAAGTAGTGATAAGGATGTGCTAGATGCATTCTGCTGCTGGAGCTTTATGGAGCTTCTCAACCCATCGAAAGGTTTACTGTTGATGATCGAATTTCCTAGTAACAACATATTGATTTTCGTATAACATGAGAATGCGAACATCCCTATATCGTTATCACCTCCCTTCCTGGAAGATTAGTGTTGAAAATGTGACACCCGTTTCGAAAGTCATGACATTGTACGCAGTATGGTTAGAGCGACATCAATTTGAAATTTACTCGTTAGCTACGTAAACACGGCTCTGTGGCTCTTTGTAGGCCTTCAACTGCTTTATATGGTGCACGTATATTTAAATCTGTACGAAATGGTTTTATGACCAATCGCTTAACCTTTCAACAATTTACTTACCAATGAAAACTAATCTTCAACACATTTCGAACAATTGAACCGATAATGTTCCGATATATATATAATATACAGCCATTCCATAGCAAAACCGATATAGTGGTTCTCAGAATTTCTTAAAAATGGGTAGTTTTGTTCCATATCGCAAAATATTAGACCCGTATTTTATATCTCGGTTCATACAAATTTCCAAAACATTGTATGGACGATTGTCTATGCGGGGAGAAGGGGGGAACTAAAACCTTTAAAAATCGGTCTACGTAGTTTATGAACAGCCCTTATATACACAGGATGACTGGTAATTTGTGTTACACCCGAAAGAAGGTGAAAGTTGACCACATTTGCAGCAAAAAATTGTATGGCAAGGTAGGTCGAAAAATCATTTCTTACCGAGTTATTGATCTATTTATTTTACATTGCCAATCAACACTACCACTTTCAGTTCAGGCACTCGCGAATATTACCAAAGTCTAGGGAGTAAGCATTGCTTGGCTACTATGATCAATTTTTGTTTACTAACCACTCTATTCAATTGGCGCCACAGGCGCTCAACTCAAAATTAAGTAAGAATAACTTAAATTTTGGATTTTTTTTTCTCTTCTTGCCCGGTCGTGCAACATTTTTGATTGCTTATGAATACCAAAATGAGGCACTTAGAATCAGTAGAACATTAATTGCTCAATAGCTCGGTAAGGAATGATTTTTTGACTTAATTCTATGTCTAGTAGGAGTTGGGTCGAAAACTCGAGGTAGGTAGTTATATTCCTTATCGCAAAATATTAGACCCGTATTTTTTTTATTAGGGTGTCCAGTTCCATGTTAGGGTGGTCTAAAAAATCCATTTTTTTTTCAAAAATTATTTTTTTTTTAAATTTATTACTTTTGAATCTTTGATTTCAAAGATCAAACTATTAAATAAACATTAATTTAAAATACTTTTTTTGCAAAAATATAATGATGTTAAAAAATTAGGATTTTGTATTGAAAAATATTGATTGCATTTGTTTTTTATGGTTTTCACGGCTTTTAGACAGGGTGCAATATGTTATTATATTTTTCATTGAAAATTTAATCTTTTTTACAAATTATATTAAAATCAGGTTCTTTTTCGTGTTTGTTTTATACATTTTTTAAGTTATCAAGTTTTGGATTTTCCCTCAATACTCCTATGTGACAAGACTACCATGCGTTTCCATTTATACATAGCTAACATAGACATATAATCTATCCCTATTATTTGTTTTTTCTACAATGTATTTATAATTACCTTTCATTTGATATTTTGATCTTTGAAATCGATCTAGTGGTTCAAAATCTATGAATTTAAAAAAATAGTTTTGGAAAAATCGAGAAAAATCGATTTTTTGACCAATCTAACATGGAAATGGTCACCCTAATGACAAAATACGGGTATATTTTACGATAAGAACAAAACAACTAATTATTACGAAGTTCTGATGAGGGTTTTTGATCTAATTTCCGTCCTACTAAGCACAACCCGCGCTTTACCTCTCTTTTCTGAATGAGTTAAACAACATCAATGAAAATTTGTATCATAGATGACTTCTAAATTTATTCACCTCTCCATACGTACCGTTGGATTTGATAAAGAGTCACAAATTGTTGAGATATTGTTTAAAATCTGATACTGCTTCTTGATTCTAAATTCGTTCTACGAGTTTCAATTCCGTCCTAATGCATTGAAACGCCATTAGATTTTCTTCGTCCTACGGATAAACGTAGAAAAAGGGGATTCGCTAGGAGCGCTTCTTTTGTTTTGAGAATAATGAGCGTAAATATTCATACAATGCGCTCTAACAGGATTTATTATGTAGCTAACGAACTAACGCATCGGAACAAACCTATTTTTGCCTTTCTGCACAGTGAAATCATTGATATTATTCATCTTTTCTGATCGATAGAACGGAAATGGGTGATTACGACGAAGTAGCGCTCTACCCTACCACTATATCGTTTTGCTATGGAATGGCTGTATACGTATACTTTATTTCTTCCATCTATGGTATGTTTCTACGTGAAACTCTCATTCATCCGTGATATATTACCTGACACACACCAACAGAAATCATAGTTACTGACTGCCTCGTGCTGTTCCTTTTTCCCTGCTTCCATCCAATCAGCGGTCAAGGAGATAGAGGGTGTTGCAACGAATGGGTCCAATTATCTATACACGACCGAGTTCAACTACATGGACTTTAACGTGGACGACAATGGCCTGTGGGTCATCTACTCTACACCCGATTCCAATAACACCATCGTTGCCAAGGTAATGTAATAATAATACCCTTTTGGCCACGCATCACTTGAAAGCGAATATTACGCTTTTTGGTTCCTCATAAACTATCGGAAATGGACTTTAGACTGAGGCAAATTTTAAAATTTTCGCTCAACAGAGCTCAAACGGTTCCAGATTGGGTCCTGATTAGCTTTCGGAAGCTATAACATTTGGATTTGAAACTGACTTTTTACAAACCACTTTATGTTTATCTATTGTAAAAGCAATCATTCTATTCTAGCTGTTTAACCATATTACTATGAAAAAAAAAGTTGTTATCACTATATGAGTATAGAATTTTTCCAGTTCCAACTTTGTAGAAAATCATTCTTCAGCTAAGGACACCTTAAAAAGCCCGAAACGTTTTCATTTTACATTGTATACGTGTTGTTTATGTGAAATTTCTAGCCCTTTGAACTTGGCAGAATACTAGACCCATAGTTTAAGAAACATAAATGGTAAGTGCAAAATCAGTTTTCAGTCCAATGCATCAGGAACCGTTTGAGCAATGTTGAGTAAACATTCCCAACATTTGCATCAGTCTAATAATGGACATACCTACTTACTTGCATCCAGAAAAGCATGCTTGGCATACACAGTTTTGGTCACGAACTGCTCATTTGCTACTAACTTTGCACACAGTTGACGAAATATAGTTCGTTTTGCAGCAGTAGATAGAATAGAGTTTAAGCTTGTTATAGATACGTAAAAACAACGTTGATTTTAATTCTATATTTGTTTTTGCGTTGTTAAAATTAAGTGAGAAATGCTTGTAAAAATTAAGTGAAAAATCTCGGACTTTAAATTCTATCAATTACATTAAAGAAAAACAGATTTCAACAACTGAGTGAAAAGTTATGCTAGGCATGCAGAAAAGAGATAGATTAACAATTTGATGTTGTCAACTTTGGGGATGTATTCTGGGGGAAAAAGTTCAAAATGCGGACCAAAAGCCATCCACTTCCGGCTGGATGAACTGTATAATTGGATAACGCTCACTTGATAATTGCTGGTGCTGTTTTTGCGACACTTTCTCACAGCTCAACGAATACAACCTAGATATTCAGTTTAGTTGGAATATAAGCGTGAACCATCACAAGGTGGGCGAGATGTTCATCGTTTGCGGTGTGCTCTATGCAATTGATTCCGTAACTGAGCGAAACACGAAAATCAGACTGGCTTTGGACATGTATCACAGCAAACTGCTTGATGTCAGTCTTACCTTCACCAATCCGTTCCGGAAAACGACTACAGTGGGCTACAATCCTAAAAATAAGGTAAGTATTTCATACACTATTAAACATAAACAAAAATTTACCCCTTGAAAGGCAAGGATACATTAGCTGTTTTTTTAACTTGTATATGCAAATTTTGATAACATACCCATATCCAAATTTAAACAACAATCATTCAAAAAGAGAACTTACACAATTTTGATTTTCTAGATTTTTTTTTAAACTTTATGATAGAGATTTTTAGCCGTAGGCTAGTTTATCTCTAAATGACTTTCTAGAGTGCAATCAAATGTTGCTAAACTTTTAACCCAAAATTTTTGATTTTAATCTTCAATATCCTGTAGACCAGGAATCCTACAAAAAACCTGAGTCCATACCATGAATCAAAACAAATGAAACAATTTTCGGTTGTGGAGCTGCTCAGCCCCCAGTAGCCTTTAACCCTACATGCAAACGAGCATAACGAGTTTTTGATAAATGGCCAGCGCTTTGCCTCCATTGAATGAATCTGGTAAAGTTATTTCATTTCAACCGCACTAGAAAATGGCATGTTCAACCATGCACAGCTATCCCGAATTCCTTGCGTACCTCATCCCGAAACAATGAAGGCTTGCGGTAGGTAGATATGTACTACAATGCTTTCAACCGATACATGTTTAGAGCATTGTTTGAGAAAGTGCTTGTTTACAAATCAATTATGCAAATGAACCACGTTGGCACTGGCCTTATTTCGAATTCAAAACCCCCAAGACAAGAAGATGCCTTCATTCAACAGGCTTCCATGGTCCAGTGGAAGAGGACAAAATGCATCTTCCTCTCCCTAACCCGGACAAACTGCACAGGTCAATTGTAATTAATTGTATACTGATTGCCAGCTACTGACCTGGATCGATTTCTGAATGAAGAGTAAACCTATTTCATGAAAATTGATTCCATACAATCGATAGAATCTTCCCTTTGGACTCGAAGTCTATTAAACCATTTATTCATAGCATATTGCAGCATCTTGACATTCATAGGTTTTATTTCAATTATCATCTAAAATTGCAGGAACTGTACACCTGGGATCGAGGCAATCAGTTGACCTACCCGATACGGTATCACGTTAATGACTACAACAGTACGGCCACCGACAAGACAGAAGACGCTCTCAATCCCCAGATGCAAACGGGTTATGACATTTTTCACGATCATGATAATGGTAACGATGCTGGCCGTTAGAAACTGGATGGTTCTACTATAGTGGGTGTAAATATAGTTGGAAAAAGCTAATGAGATTCATACCTATGGTGTGATTCCATAGAGCAACCTTATATTTGTTTGTCTTTCTACAATTAAAAGATGCTTTCCTAACAATTGATGGTAATTTACGATGAGGGATGCGCCTTCATAATGATTTTCTCTGTTGTGACGTAAAACAAAGTAAATGTAGTATTAGCAATGTCCGAAGTCAACTCTATTTTATACTGAAATATACCCAATGAAATTTTTAAATACAGTCCTTCTTGTAGTATCAACATTGATTATCCGAAATTTCCTCTATCGTTACATTTTTAAGAAACATAGTTATTTGAACATTATGTTCTACTGCAGTTGCACATCTTCCCGTACACTTATCGTTTTTAGCTGTTAGTCGAGAAGGAGCATTAATGGACTTTATGTTCTGCTTTGAATTCCACCTCGTAACAAAAAAAAAGTTTCCCAAACCGTTAAAATAACCTCGCTAATGGAACGTGCATTTGAGTCTATTGCTTTTCGTTCCGCATGTACACTTCTCCTGTGGCGTTCTACGAGCCAAGTACAGTACATTTAAAAGACGCTGAAAGAAAAACGAGTACAGCAACCCCTCCATATATGCGGTGGGTGGTACCTACCACTTTTGTATCACTAATTCACTTTCACTCTTACTTTCACTATCACTTTGAACTATAACAGACACGTATTTCGTTTACTAGGGGAAATGTCTCTAATGTTGGCCTATGGATCTAAGATTGGGCCCATCGCTAAAAATCTGCTATTTATCAATTTTATCTAGATGAATGCGTTATTGGGACGTTACTAATGGATATTTTTGGTTGCTATTGAAAATTTAATCGATTGCTGAATTTATGTATGGGCCCAAATTAGGGACACTTAGGCCGACATTACCTGCATTTCCCCTACTTGCAAACTTCTTCAGTGTAGAATTAAAAGGAAAAATCGACGAAAAAGGTACACAATTATTCTACTAAAACGCTCATCCATCAATTTAGATAGATTTTTTGTTTATTATTAGCAACCGGTGTTAACTAACGGTTTTAAATTGGCTCACACTGAACTATCCTATAGGGCCTGGCCTTAGAGTTACCTCTATGTTATTAGTGTCAACCATAAACTAGTTATCTACAGAAAATCAGCTCAATTGGTTCTCGGTACCATCAACCGCATAAATGGAGGGATTACTGTACGAACGTATTTCCTGTCATGTGGTGCAATTGGTTCGAGACGAGTTGATTTTAACACAATTCCCACTTCCTCCATTATTCTCGAAATGTATGCTGTCGATACTTGTATTAGCAAATGCGAACACCAGCCATGCTAACACAAGCATATAATGTTGTCTCATTAGTTACCCGAAACGAAATTAAGATACTTTGAGAAACTGAAACAGCGAAGAAAGACCCATCTCATTGACAAGGGAATGTCATAATAATACACCCTGAATGTTCGACCGGGAAATCCAAAATATGAGCGGTGTAAAAACAGATAGGGGAAATGCCTATACCAGCAATATCTTCACCTATTATCGTCAGGGAGGTAAACAAAGCTCTATTGATACTCTGAACAGTGATGCCACATATACAGATTTCCCAAGGCGAACCAGCCAATGGCTGAAAGCCTTGTAAATAAAGGAAAAAAAAAAAAAAAAAAAAACATATACAGATTTCTCAATGTTTTGATTTAAAAAAAAAAAAACATTAAGATTTTTCAGATAATTCAAATAAGCGGAATATATTTTTCACCCTGGATTGTATTTATTCATTCCGATAAATAATCGTTTCTTCCTTTTGAGCAGCTACGAGAACCAAACCCAAATTAAATTTTTACAAAATAAAATATAATTTTATTGTCTTCGTTAATTTTGAACGGACTTCTGATGTTCAGATGTTTCAATTTCTGATTGCTCGTTTAGATGAATGTTAGTTTTTGTTTATTTATTTTTAAATGAAACATAGGGTAGAGAACTACTTCGGCCTAATCGCCCATTTTGGGCCTATCGAGCAGAAATCTTCAAATAAATCCATGATTTTAGAGCTAACAAGTCAATTATGCGTTTGTTATGATACTTTAGTTAATAAGCTACCGAGCGAAGTCAACGAGAACGCGTGATATGAAGGTTTGCACCCATTATTCCCAAAAACAAAAGAAGCGCTCAGCGAATCATGTTTTATCTTCATCCGATAAGCCGAAGTGAATTCATTGGCGTTTCAATGCGTTAGGCCGAGTTTAGAATCCGTAGGGCGAGTTTGGCGTCAAGAAGCAGTGTTAGACTTTTGACAATATCTCAACGATTGGATTCTCTTTATAAAATCTTACGGTACGTACGGAAAGGTAAATAAATTTGGAAGCCATCAGTAATAATAACATTCAGTTTGGAGCTAAACTGCGCTAGATTAAGAAAGACTAAGTGCGGGTTGTGCTTAATAGGCCGGAAATGGGGTAGTTAACCCTACTATGGGCACATAAAAACCAACTTTTTGACACATATTTGGAACAGTAAAAAAGAAACACTTTAGAAGATTCACTATCCGGATATCCGGATAGTTACTATCTGCCTGATAACCATCTCAATGATATTATTTCAATATTGGGCACTAAAAAGCATGATTTATTGATATTCTATTTGTCCGAAAGTAATTTTATTGAAAAAACTGAAGTATCCGGATAGTTGAAGTCCCAGCTCTAATGTTTAGTTCACTACATATACCTTCGCCTTCTTGTTAGGTCTGAATAGCATCCAACGACTGGACGGAAAATATAGTATGGTAGAGAACTACTTCGGCCTAATCGCCAATTTTGGGCCTATCGAGCAGAAAACTTCAAATAAATCCATGATTTCAGAGTAAACAAGTCAATTATGCATTTGGTACGATACTTTAGTTAATAAGCTTCCGAACGAAGTCAATGAGAACGCGTGATATGAAGGTTTGCATCCATTATTCCCAAAAACAAAAGAAGCGTTTCGACCGAATCAATTTTAATCTTCATCCGATAGGCCGAAGTGAATTCATTGGCGTTTCAATGCATTAGGCCGAGTTTAGAATCTGTAGGCCGATTCTGGCGCCAAGAAGCAGTGTTAGACTTTTGACAATATCTCAACGATTGGTTTCTCTTTATCAAATCTTATGGTACTTACGGAAAGGTAAATATATTTGGAAGCCATCAGTAATAATAACATTCCGTTTGGTGCTAAACTGCGCTAGGGTTGTGCTTAATAGGCCGGAAATGGGGTAGTTAACCCTATTTGCCTGAAGACTTACATTGACAAAATCGCTCCCTAGTTACATTGACTACAAACTGCCAAGACTGCTAAGTATCCAATGGATACTGGGTATGTTTCGTCGATGGTCACTACCTTACCATTCCTCGACAATACGGCCTATCGGAGCCTCGTGAGTGCTCTACTTGACGTCGCTGTGTGTGCTCGCCCAGACATAACCGTTAGTGCGTCTATCCTTGGTCGTAAGGTGTGTGCTTCTACTGAACTCGATTGGGTGGCGTGCTAAGCTGGTGTACAAGAGCGATACTGAAGGAATTATAGGATTCTCGGATGCAGTTATGTCTTCCTCTTGGGGGCAGCAGACTACAACACTGTGTTCACAGCTCAATGGAATCCGAGTACGTGGCGCTTGGAGAGGCCAGAGGTTGTCTGGTTGAGAAGACTGCTTAGTGACATGGAAACTGTGGATGGACCGACATGTATTATGGACGATAATCAAGGATGCATCCAGTTTGTGCAACCAGATAGAATAATCCGTCGCTTAAAGCATATTGAGGCAGAGGAGTGGTATGTTCGAGAGTTGTGTGACAGGGGGTCTATGCGACTTGAATATTGTCCCAACGAAGCGATGGTAGCTGAGATGGTAACTAAACCACTTGGAAGTACAAAATATAGATACTAGATAGAAAAAAAGTACCCAAAATTAAGTTTCTTTCACTCAACACGTGGTTTCCGTGGGTCTAGGTAAAATTAAGTTAAAGAAGAAAACTCAATTTTGAGTATTTCTGATCAAGAATTCATTGAGTGAAAATTACCTAGCGATGAATCGAATGGAATAGGTAAAATTTACCCAACGTTGGACAAAAATTCTTGTAACTTTCGTTACTTTAGAATTCAAATCAACGAATGTATGGCACCAAAGTTAAATGAAATTTAATTATTTGTTGAAATTAATACATAACATTTAATAGTCACTTAATGTGCAGGGCAGAATGACCACTTCATGTGCAGCAAACTCGATCCCGTAGACCGAATAGAAAGACATCCTTCATATGTAGGCACTTCAAGATTCAAGATTATTCAATAGATGAGTAAATAAATTTGAACCAACGCCACTTTTACAGTGTATAAGTTAGGGAATTAATTATGACGAAAAAAAAGGAGCCGATTTGACTCGAACCACGAATATCAGACCTTCAGGATTTCTCCACTGCTCTCTCCATGCTTCGGAAAATAGTTAGGCTAAAAGCGAATAAAAAGCGCTCATATTTAGTACCATAATTTAATTTCGCATTCTTTTTCTGCTGAACGGAAATTGGCGTGAATAGAAGCAAGTGCGTGCGTCGTTCTACAATGTTATACAATGTTATGGCATAAGGTTTTGCACCACCGGGGTTAGCCTCAATCGTATGACAGTTCAGTGGAACTGTTTACGCGGACTTGGTCGATTTTTTCTTGGGTAGATTTTCTCGATAACTTTTTAGATTGCAGTGAGATGTAAACCACACTTTTGCAATGTCCACGAGCAACATCCTTTCTCCGCGCATTTCCTGGACAATTTTCAAGTTAAAATTCGGAAATTTTAATATATATTTTTTTCAAAAAATCGACTAAGTGCTTGTAAACAGTACCACTGTACTGTTAAAAAGGATCAACCGATTAACACTGAGTTCATTTGTGACGTCACGCTGCAAAAATATTCTAAAATTTCCGAATTTTAACTTGAAAACAGCGCGAGGAACAGCACGGTGAAAGGATGTTGCTCGTGGACAATGCAGACATGTGGTTTACATCTCATTGCAGTCTAAAAAATTGTCGAGAAAATCTACCCAAGAAAAATCAACTAAGTCCTCGTAAACAGTACCACTGAACGTCAGCAGATTGAGGTTAACCCCGACGGTGCAAAACTATAGTCGCTTTATTCATAGTCTGGCGGATAGAATCTCGAAAACCAATTGAGCTGTCAAATAGCGGAACCAATCG